CAAAACAGTCCAGTGGCACCTTTAAGACCAAGTTTTATTCAGGTACAAGCTCTCCCTCCTCTGCAAGGACAGATCTGCAGGTTCCCCCCCCCCAATAGCTAGCAATCCAAGACAGTCCAGTGAAGCCTGCGCAGTGGGTGTTGCCTTCTGACACACTTCCGGTGATGTCAGGGGGCGTGGCATATGCAAATAGGTTATGCTAATGAGCTCCTGCACCTCTTTTTCTACGAAATGACCCCTGTCCGGGGGGGGGGCAGGGAGCTCCCCAGTCCCAGGCCAGGATCCGGGGGCCCGGGGGCCTGTCCCTCCCCAGGACTGGGCTGGGGAAGGAGGACTGACTGAGCCCGGGATTGGCCCTCCCTTGGGGAAGCCTGAGGAAGGCAGGCCCAGGAGCAGCCCGGGAAGCAGAGCCAGGCCCCCTCCCCGACCGGTGGGAGTACGTCACGGGCAGGGCAGAGGGTGGGAGCTGGGAGAAAGGGAGCCCCCTCCTCTGGCTGTCTGCTGAGGCCCTCTCCTGGGGCCCTGGAGACAGCGAGACAGCTCTGGACTCAGACCCGGCTCCAGTGGGCCCCGACACACAGCTGAGAGTAATACTTCATCTTAGAAACCATTCAAACCAACCCCAGCCAACAGATAATTAAAATCATTAAACCAGAGCTAAAAATAAATACAAAACCATAAAACCCACAATTAAAACATTGGGCAGGACGGGGGGGGGGTCACTGAGGAAACGGCAAAGGAAACAAAACATTCTTCACTTGCTGGTGGGAGACGGCGACAGAAGGGGACGGTTTGGTTGCCACGACGGAGAAGGCCCTCTTCTCCCGGGTTGCCATCCGCCTGATCTCAGAAGGCAAGGGGGTACCCGTAGCGGGTTCTCTGAAGAGGACTGTAGTGGCTGGGAAGGTTCCCAATATAGTAAAAGGTAAAGGTTTCCCTTGCTCAAAAGTCAGCCGAATCCGACCCTAGGGGGCAGTGCTCATCTCCGTTTCCAAGCCAGCCAGCCAGCGCTGTCCAAAAATGTTTCCGTGGTCATGTGGCCGGCATGACTAGACGCCGAGGTGCACGGAACGCTGTTACCTTCCCGCCGAAGCAGTACCTATTTATCTACTTGCAATTTCTTGCTTTCGCACTGCTAGGTTGGCAGGAGCTGGGTCCAGAGGCAGGAGCTCACTCCGTCCCGCGGCACTCGGGTCTCAAACTGCTGAAGTACAGACCTTCTGGTCTGCAGCTCAGCGTCTTAACCTCTGAGCCACCACGGCTCCATAGGTTCACAATATAGCACTGTATTAAGTGTTGTTTAGAGCCGAAGTGGCTTACAACCAGGGAGACCTTAAAAAACACTTTCGAAAGGGGGACATTAAAATCCACATCACATCAAGCTCTGATCCTCATCTAGAGAGGGAATTTCTCCTGCCTTAACCTCGTCAAAGTAGTCCTTTCTTGGTGAGAGGGTAGGAAGGAAGAAGGTTGCTCTTCCATGCCTGGAGCTGTGCTAGCTGAACTCTGTTCTTCTTCCAGGGAAATCATATTCGAGGACGCTACTCCAGGGCTTGGTGCCCCTGCTCTCCCAGAAAGTCTGCAAGTCCCGTTACGGGAAGAAGTTCACGAACCGTATGCTCTGTGCCGGAAATCTTTCCGAAGATAACCGAGTGGACAGCTGCCAGGGCGACAGTGGGGGGCCATTGATGTGTCAAAGGTCAAGTGGGCATTGGGTTATTCTGGGAATCACTTCCTGGGGTTATGGATGCGGCCAAAAAGATTCCCCCGGTGTTTACACAAAAGTCAGCAAATTTGTGCCTTGGATCAAGAAGGTAACCAAACTGAAGTGAAAAGCAGCCGAGCCAAAGCTGGATTCATGTCAGCTTCGCCTCGCTGAATCTAAAACAGGGAAGAGACCATTGGCTTCCTTCTGTCTGTATTTCATTGTCTGCTGCTGCCCCTGGAACCAAAGAAAATTTCAGTGCTCCCCAAGAATAGACTTAGGGCCACTGATGTGGTTTTCAAATCCTTGCACTTATTATCTTCACATTAATTTTAGATCTTCTTTGACCAAAAGCAAGAAGTAACAGCCGTTCAAGTTTCTCATACGTCAACATGTTTCTTCAGGATCTATGAGGACTTGAGGTCTTGCTATAAACGCCACTACTCACCAGCTTTGGCATATATATATGTATTTCATGACTGTGGCAAAATGAAATTTCATAGAATGTGTCAGCAATAATCCATTTGCATGCAAGTCAGCACTACTGGGACTCAGATTAATCGTCATTCGTTACACTGGATCACTCATTACACCAAACCAGAGTTAGTAAAAAAAAATGTGCTTTCCAAACCATCAACTGCAATTTTCAGAGAGTGATTTCAGCAAAAGATCAGCTTTATTCAGCAACTCGTAACTCAACTCCAAACAGATCAACATGAATAGCCAGAACAGCTTTAGCATTGAAGCTGTTCCACTTTTAAACTCTCCCGGCTAATGTAGCCACGCCTACTATACAAATACCAACCTATGAGGTTGCAGGGATAAAGTCCAATCACAATAGTTCCCGCTCTTGGAACTGGCTGTTGGTGATTGGTCGGCTCCTCCTGGGATACCAATAACATTTGAGGGATTAGGATCCTAGCCCAGGATGAAAGCTTCACATGGTGTTTCAATGACTGCGTTTCATATATACATTGGGTCAGATTGAATACACCACATCCACCAAAAGCGATGGGCGTTTGCTGGCTTCATGGATTTCAGTGTGGCATTTGCAACAAATCTGATGTGGAGCAGGGCAGCTCTCCAAAGTGATCAGGGTGGCCATTTGCCCAATAGAAGTGGGCAAATGCCCACAGGTGCTCCCTGTCCTCCACTGGCACTCAGCGGAGCAGCAGGTAAAAAATGGGGATGCATGACGGGGCACATGGCAACTTCACTTGTGGGTGAAGACCCAGACGTGTAGTTCAGCCCGGAGGAGTTCCCTCGGGGAACAGACCCTTTAAGGGAGGGATGTGAGTGAGAGGGAAGCCTCTCCTTAGCCTTCAGCTCCTGCGGAAGAGAGCACCTCCACCGTCTGTCATGGGGACCTCTTCCAACTCTGTAGGGGATATGCTCCTTTAAGATCTATGAAGGCAGTGTATAATTTTACATTGCTTCTTTTAACATACTTATTAACCAGGTGCTCTAATACAATGCCGTGGTCTGAAGTAGTTTTCCCATTACAGAATCCCAGCTGTTCCGGGCCTACGACTGTTCTGTCATCCATAGGGTCAGCTTAGATAGTGCATGTTTGGCCAGAAGTGACATCAATGTGGTGATTGACTGTCAAGGAATCCCTCCAATCTCTATGGTCTTTACCATAGAAACTGCTGAAATTGCTAGAGCATTGCTCGGCACAGTGATGTCACTGGGCCCAGAAGTGACATCACTGCATTGGGCGTTGCTCCCTCCCACGATCCCCAGCAAGTTCCTGCGAGTGCCAAGTGCAGGCCGGGCGACCCTAGTACTCAAGGAGGCTGTGCTCTCTTGTTATGTGTTCACAATCTGCAGTTGCCCCCAACGCCCTTTTGTCTGTCCTGAACCTACGGCCCGTAGCATACGCACGGCTGTTGACATAGTATCAGTGTGGGAACAGTTCTTTCCAAGGGAATAGTTGACATGGATTCATAGAGTTGTCCATGTGCTGCTTACAGGAGAGGGTCTAGTTCTCTGTCCTTCACTGGTCACATATATTTCCAATGCAGCTGACTAGAGGAAGTATAACTCCACACGATCTGCAGTAGCTGCAAATATACCATCCATTACCCGGCTGAAGTTGATTGTCACAACAGCCTGTTCTGTACATACAGCAGAATGACATGGGGAATTCCAAGGTGACAGGGCTGTTCTACAGGGAGGGGAGACGGAGTCAAATTCTTAATATTCCCCCATGTAAGAACTCACTGCACAAACAAACAAACAAAACCCCTGTCACATCTGGAGCTTTGCCAGTTTTTGGTTTTCAGAGGGATTCATAGGAGGTTTGAAAACAGTGTCACCCCCTCCCCTGTAGACTGAAGTGGATGGTGCATCGGTAGAGCAGGTCTGAATTCCACCAAAAGCGATGGGCGTTCGCTGGCTCCCATCCTTCGTGAGCGAAGACAAAAATGTACAGTACAGAAGCCTCCTGAGTGAGCCGGAGGCTAAGAATCTGTGACCTAGCGTGCTCTGGTTGCACCTAGCAGGAACCATGGCAGGTGCTTATGTGGGCGTAGCCCAGCACCTACGACAGAGCGGGGGTCACCAGTTCAGACCTCACCTCTGCCGCAGATTCACTGGGTGGCCTTAAGACAAATCCCACTCAGCCTCCCATCGGCAAAAGGATTGTGACACATTAATGCGGGTGAAGTGCTTTGAACATGAAATGCAGTTATATAAATGCTGAGTAATATTATTGTTATTAGAAGGGCCCCAGGGAGGGCTCCACGTGGGGTCAGGAGGCCGAGGCTCAGCATTCCTGGGCCGCTCTGCTGCAAAGCTGGGTTCTGATGCCAGGAATGGAAAGGGTGCTTCATTTAGTACCTGTTTTCTCTGGAGGCTGCGGGCTTATCTCAGGTGAATGTCTTGTGTGAGGATTATTGTTCTCCTTGTTGTCGAATGATCAAAGGGAAAGGGTTGGAACACTTTCCCTATGAGGAAAGGTTAAAGCGCTTGGGGCTCTTTAGCTTGGAGAAACGACGGCTGAGGGGTGACATGATCGAGGTTTATAAGATTATGCATGGGACAGAGCAGGTACGGTAGAGAAACGGACCTCCTGATGGCACCTGGTATTTCTGGCCACTGTGTGACACAGAGTGTTGGACTGGATGGGCCACTGGCCTGATCCAACATTGGCGTCTCTTACGTTCTTATTTTATAGGGACATTGAAAAACTGATATTCCCGTTTCCTCTTTTTCTGTCCTATGCAATGGACATTTTTCCCCCCTTATTCCTGGTTAGAAAAGCATGCTGATTAAATACATCCACCCTACTCCCCCCCCCCAAAAAAAAGGGTCACAGAGGAGGACCCTTGACAGTGCTGTGTAGAAGCTGATAACAAGGTTAAGCTTTCTTCTGTGTCATTTAAAAGTTATGGTTCTTTTGCAAGTTTATCTGCCAACAGAGTGTTGGACTGGATGGGCCACTGGCCTGATCCAACATTGGCGTCTCTTATGTTCTTATTTTATAGGGACATTGGAAAACTGATATTCCCGTTTCCTCTTTTTCTGTCCTATGCAATGGACATTTTTTTTTTTTATTCCTGGTTAGAAAAGCATGCTGATTAAATACACCCACCCTACTCCCCTCCCCCACAAAAAAGGGTCACAGAGGAGAGCCCTTGACAGTGCTGTGTAGAGGCTGATAACAAGGTTAAGCCTTCTTCTGTGCCATTTAAAAGTTGTGGTTCTTATGCAAGTTTATCTGCCAGGGTTTCTTTATCAGGCAGAAGAACGGTGCAGGGAGTTGGGCTGTTGTGGTGCTTTAACCCTTTCCTTTCGTGCCCTTTCCTTGCTAGAAAAAAAAATCCACCCATGAAGGGGCCCCGGGGAGCCAGGATTTGCTTCACTGAGAAGCATCATCATTACATGTTAGTTTCCAAGCGGAGAAAATATCCGGGGGCCATCTCAGGTTGGGAAAGTGGCATGAGTGAGAGGGCTGAAGTCCGTTCTTCAAGTGCACCAATCTCAATTGGGCCCATGCGTGCCCGGGGAACATGGAACACCCAGTCCACGTGTGACTCAGGTAGCAGCCACGAGGGCTCTGTATTGCGTGGATCAACTCCAAAGCTACTGGAAATGGTGCCATAGGTCTGCACCAGTGGTGCTCACTCCACGGCTCATGGAGGCCACATTTGTAATTACCAGCCACGCAAAGAGCCACGGTTGCTTCCGTCTCTTGCACGATGTGAAATGTTCTCTTTTCTGGCAGCTGGTGTCTTTTTGAGCATGAGAATTTGTTTTGGGACTCAGATCAGGGCCATTCTGGTTTGATACAATCACTGAGTTCTTTTGCTTGAACTTTTGACGGTTCCGAACCAGTGGTTATGTAGAACTGGCCACTTTGTTTTGAGTTTACATTGTGGATTATCAAAAATACATGTATTTGTTAAAAATTAGTTCAAAAACAATTATAGGCCCAAATATAGCCTCAATAGGAATTTCAAATCGTATAAGATGCACAGTTAGGACCTTATAAAACCCTAAAGCAGGCGCATTTCGACCTACTGGTCTTCTTCAGTGGTCAAGCATAAATGCAGCACATAGGCTCAATTATTGCAATACTAATATTAATTGATATAGGACCAAGTGAAAATTATGCTCTGATAAATATCAGCAACTCAAGGCAAGAATAGCCTATAATAGGCCTCATATGACATCGACTTGTGTCCAAATCAAGTACATATCATCAAAATGATATTTCAATTATGTACCCTCCTCTATTTTGGTCCAGGAAATTCAATTCCAAAAGCAATATGGGGCCAGTGTAACGAAATAGTGTGTAGCGCCTAAATAGTGTGTAGTTCTACACGAAAGA